CTATGAGGTCAAACCGTCTTCTGTAAGTCATTGCACGTGCCACGTATGCCATTTGCATGAAGAATTCGATAAAGTATTATTTGAACCAATTAATCTCAGAGACTAAGGGGAAGGTGATATTAGCTCGTTTTGCTTTTCTTGCGTTGAAGTATCTGGACACGGTGAAGGGGATCTGGAGCAAGACGTGCTCTGTCACACCCAATTTGCACGATCTCATCTGTGCCACTTGCACATGTTGACCGACCTGGACCTGGGCTTTATTATACGGGTATTGCGTACCCCTTTATCTACATTGGTGGCTCGCAATGTTACGTTCCAATTCATATTGAAGAAAGGTTAGCTGAGAAAACTTTGCTGAGTTCCATTGATATTCTGCTTATGTTTAATGTGGTCGAATGAATACAAAACATGTAGATCAAGTCTCAAGAAGTGTGTCCCTGGGATCCGTTGATTCAGAATCTTTTTTCTTGCAAATCCTTCAGGCCTTCCTTTAGTTGTTGCATTATTGGATAATGCACTCGGTCAACAACAGCCTTTCCTTCACTGATGAAAGCTTGCAAAGAAAAGTACTTCGCAGCACGAAGTGTTCTCCGGCTTCACTGCAAACCTAACTGTCTACTAAGTACACACTTACAAATGCATGCTTGTAAGTACACACTTACAAACGCATGCTTGGCCAAGTACACACTTACAAATGCATGCTTGCAAGTACGCACTTACAAACGCATGCTTGAGGCCGTTTAACTCCATGCGTCAAGCATGCGTTTGTAATGTGACTTGCAAGCATGCATTTGTAAGTGTGTATTTGGCCAAGCATGCGTTTGTAAGTGCGTGCTTAACATGCATTTGTAAGTGTGTACTTATAGACGGGTTTTGTAGTGTTGGTATTACGAACTCCCTTGCGAACTGTTTTCTTTGCATTGTAAAGAAATAGTTTGTGAGTTGCGAAGAAAAAAGCTTTCAACGTTGCTAAGCATTGGTTTGTAACGTTGCAAAACATTTTCTCTGCAAATTGCAAACAAACACTTCGCAATGTAACGAAAAAAGTGTGTAAGAGAATTTTGCAATAAATGCCGGAGAGTACTTCGCAAGATTTTTCGAGTGTCCCTTAACAATCCAATTTGGCTACCTGCCCCTCCAGAACGGCAATTCGTCTCTGAAAATTTCGGATAATTTTCGCCTTCGTTCAATCACGTGCATCTCTTTCTGCTGAGGTGAGATGTTTCGTGAACGCATTATTTTGGGCGATTCGAGAGCGCGTGAGATTAGAGGGATTGGAGACTGAACAATGCTTTTGTGAAAGCGAAGAGGGATGCCAAAGCCCAAGTTATGGAGCTCAGCTAGAAGCAGACGCAGTAGTGGCAAGTTTTGTCAGGCGAGGCCTCTTTGGGAATGAGGGTGAGTACCTCTAAAATGAGGCATGTGATAAGTCTTATTCTTGGAGGACGCGGAGGTGAGGAATTTTGATCTCTCCAGGGTGAGTGAACTCAACTTGTTTATACTCTGTCTCCTTTCTTTTCTGTGAACTTATTTTTGTTCTTATTTCAGGAGGAACTTGCTGTTGGCCATTCTGTTATGATTCCTGAGTCTATTAAAGATCAACTTGAAGTTGACTTCCGCAACAAGCCGTCTTCATTAGCTCGTGTCACCCCGAACTTGAAAGGGGGGTCAGGCCCCAGCATAAAAGTTGGAACCGGATGCTGCTTTGACGTGCGATCAGGTGAGAGTGTCTGCCGAAGGCAGACCAAGGAGGATGTAAGCGCCACCGTCGTAAACTGGCGTTAACTGGCGCAGCATCGCGAAGCCTGTTACGACAAGGCACTGTCTGGCGTACACCTACCTTGTTTATTATTTTAATGTTTCTTTTTACAGGTGGAGACTAGCTATCCAATCATGTATTTTTTTTAAAATGTATTATTTGCAACTGGCGGAAATTGATAGACTGAGTAGGTTTCCAATTATATTCTTATGTTTTATTGCTAGTGTGCCATTTGACATTTAGGTTCTATCTATTGAATTGAAAGTAAAAATTAATGTCTAGTCTATTCATCTTTATTTGATGAACGCCTCAAGTTTCACTGCCTCTGAATCAAAGCTTTTTACAAGAAATGAATGTAGGCTATGAACCGCCATGACCATCAGACCAGCACCCCCGCTATTGGGAAGCTAGGCAACCAGCCACACGCACCTGCAAGCCAGGCATGGGTGATTCCGTGCGTAGGGGGTCATTTTGGATGCACCAAATGTTCTTTTTTAAAGTTCAACTTTAGGGGCTAAATTTGGTGTAGATGGCATACATAGTACCCCACAGTACCCCTCTGAGCGTGGCAGCGCTACAAGTTGACTTTTATTTTCACTCCCTATGAAATACGGCGGAATTTACAGAAATAATGACGGAATTTACAGATTACGGAATTTACAAAGCGAAGTTTTTAGTCTCCTGAACCGCTGGGTTACAAGATAGGTAAAAACTGTTGACGGTGTCATTTTCAGCATCCAAAATAGCATTTTTCAGCGAAGGTTGTGGGAACTTTCTCCCTCAGATGGAGGAGCTACGGCCCGAAACGGAATTTACATCCATTTTTACACCCTTACCGTTCTGAACTCTTCTGACGGCCTGGAAGCGTCGTTTGACCGCCCCAGGTCCCGTGGGCACGGGCTTCTGGTAGTGTTTTTTATGTTCTTTCGATCCCAAGTGGTCGCGAGTTTCTAAAATGAAAAGGAACCCCAGTAGACCGTCATTTGTAAAAACAGCATAGGTCACATAGTCACACGGTGGACATTTTCCTAAAGGCTGTTTCGGGTTCAACAAGTGATGATACAAAGGTCACCCTCCGTAATTTTGTGAAGAATAAGTCAGGGGAGAGAGTGAAATAGCCAGTTTTCTTTTGATGTGGCTGAGTCATATACTACAGCATGGCAATGTTGTCTTATAGGTGTTGGTGACCATGACGGAACTTACAAAACGACACTATAGCAGCTTACGAAACCCAGATAAACAAAAGTTAGATCGACTTATACACATAAGAACATGGTCTTCGTTTAGTAAAACAAATTTGAATTGCACCTCACATTCTTATGATGAAAGGGTCATCATAACTTACGTTGAAATGAGAACATACGTACTACAATAAAATTCATGCGTAATACGATGAAATCATGCGTACCTTATGTAGAAACCATGCGTAATACGATTAAATCATGCATACCTTACGCTGAAACCTATGCATATTACGTATGTGCAAATTTATGCGTATCTTACGATGAAAAACCATCGTAATACGTATAAAAACGATCATAAGATGTTGAGAGTGTGCCCAAGCTACCAAATCAACCTCAGTTCAGGCGCAAGGCCCCGGTGACCTGAAATGACCCCTACGCACGGAATCACCCGCATGCGTCCCTCCCCGGGGCTTCGGGCCAACGGCAGATCAGCCCGAATGCTGAACCGGACGGGCCCGCTGGCCCCAACCCTGTAATGAGTCCGAACATGGGATTGCGGACATACCCGTAAAATGCCGATTTGGGAACATTCTGGAGCTTGGTCGGACCAATGTACGGCTCTGGGTCGGACTAGTCCGACGGACCTCTTTCGGCCTAAGACCCCGCTCGGGCAGATCTCGGATCAAATCTTTAATATAAGCGAGGGTGACTTCCGCAAAACTTGGGTATGGCAACAACGCTCCAGTATCGAAGCCGTATAGGCAGTCTTTGGTATAATTTTTGGCTCTACGAGTCTGACAACGCCACGGAACACAAGAAGCCATTTGAACTGTCGTGTTTTACAAGGACCCGTCATCTCAGCTAAGGGTCGGTCTTGGCCCCTGGTCCTTGGGGAGACCCGTCTGGCTAAGGGTGCTCCTTAGCCAAGCGTTTGTTTACATCACTGCAAATGCAACGGCGATACTTGAGTACATTTTACGGCGTGTGCTGGACCAATATCATCTGCTGATGATTGCAGCACCTCAGACAGTTTCCAACGTTCGAAATTTAGTTCAACTGCTATCAACTATGACTTATCAAAGGAAAATTTACTGGATTAAGTATTTTCTTTATGCTGTTGGTTGTTCAAAGATACCTTAATGTTATTGAAATTTTCAGCCTACATCTAGTGCCTTTGGTACTCCGCACCAGCCGGTCCATTAGGACTATCCGTTGCTCTTTGGTGGACATAAAGCAACATTACCATTAAATGTCGAACTCTGGAAGTCATATGGTAAAATTCATTACTTTTGTACCAAATTACCTTTGTTTATTTTTGTAATTTTCTTTTTGATTTGATACATTTAGAAAATATCTGTTTGGATCTAATTGTAACTGCTCTAACAGGATGACTGCCTGCCAGAGATATTGGGTCACCACCAAGAGTTCCTCCAATGGATGACAAAAACAGACGTAAAGCTGGACAAAATTATGAACGTGGTTTCGGATTTATCGAAAAGTAACTCAAATTGTCTGCTTTATCTTAAAGAAAAATATGAAGAAACTATTTTTTTATTAATCATTTTTACTTTTGTTTTAGGTGGGGCCCTTGGGGTGCATCGGGAAGGAAACATTTTTCAAGACGCCGTCAGCCTTGATGATCCTACTGACGATTGTCTGCCCATTGCATCGGGACATGTAAGACTTTACAGTTCTGTCATTGACATTATTCAACTTTATTTCCGTACTATTTTTCCGTACCCATTAACATGGGTTTATATAGATCTAGTACGGTACGTTCCGCACTTTTCTCCGTACCTCCGTACTATATTTTTCTGTACCATTTCCGTACAAAAGCACGGAACTTTTTCACAGTGCAGGTACGAAATGTTTAAAACGTGTCTTGTCTGACGGCACACACCTGCTGGCTGATTCCGAGCATAGCTCGTCACTGTCTCCCTCGTACTCTTAGGGGACGCCCCACTAGTGCGAGAGAGAAGGAGCGACGAAAGCGGAGCTGTGACTCAGCTGAGGTCGACAGCACGATGCGATAGCAAGGCCTTGAAACTGCGGCCGCTCGCCCCGGGCAGCGTTGCGGTGAGGGGAGCCCCTCAGTTCAGTCATGGGGCCCCTCGCGTTTGTTCTGCTGTTCCTCACAGCAACCGCCTCGGCAAGCCTGCGCAGGTTCGTAGTTAACAATCTCATCAAAGTCAGTAACGTGCTGAGAGTGCAGGGATAGTTGGGCACAGGTATTTCATTGCAGTGAGGAAAAGCCCACATGCCTCGGTTCTGTTGACTTCAAGAAAAGGTAGGAGTACAGTACACTGGTTAAACAAAGGCATAAAAACTACGCCCTTGACAGCATAGACAGTATTCTCCGCCCTTTGTAGGCGTGAATCGATAAATGCCCTCAGGAAGGGCGCCAATGGTTTATGACTCTTCGGCAAAATTTTAATGCCCTTTCAAAGGCATTGATGATTCACGCCCTTTCAAAGGCATTGATGATTCACGCCCTTTCAAAGGCATTGATGATTCACGCCGTTTCAGGGGCGTAAATCGTTTACGCCCTCATAGATCATAGTTTTATTTCCTTAATTTCACCAGTGTGCGCCCGACCGCGTTCTGTCGTGATAAGCTTCGCGATGCAGCGCCAGTTCCGACAGTCCTCGCCTGCTCTGAGCAGGTTTCTTTGCGAACCATCTCTATTTCACCCAAGTGTTCACTCCTAGAGCAAAACTGACACTCAAATAATTTGTTCAAAAGTTATTTTCTCTTTTACAAAGAACAACAGTATGAACGTAACTGTTATCTTTTCACACGCCAGTGCACACAATGCATGGTTGTATCATCATCCTACGAAGACTTGTGTATGTTTGTCCGGCCATCTCCTTCAATGCTCGACCTTGCTGGCTGAAATTTGCAGGGCTGTGACACACGTCATTAACTCGCCACACGCCACCGGATCTGATCCGGTCGTTAAATACTTAACACTTCCGACCGTCTCCAGCTGGTAGAGTACTCGCGCGTTAGCAACAGTTCTGCAGAACTGCTTTTAACCGTTTCAGCGCGGAGTAGTCTGTCTGGTACACCAAGAAGCGATGTGGCGTCCGATTACCTTGTATAATACAGTATTTAGGTGCACCCTCAAAGTACAGTTAGGATTGTGCGAAGTACAACGCGGATATATCTTTGTTCGTTTGTTATTTTGCAGTCATGACTCACCTGCGACAGGGGTTACATTTACCGACTACATGTCCTATGAAGAGGTAAGAGCCCAGCAACTTAATCGCGAGAACCTATTCGAGCATGTTGAAAGGCAGACAACAGATATTTTCTTTCCCAAAGGAATCACTACAAGAAAAGTTGTGAACAAAACAACAAAAGTCAAACGAACACTGTATAAAAAGTACGAGGATTGTACAAGGTACAACGTGGACTGGACTGAACTCGCCAAGCCGGTTCCTTTGCACTTTGTACAACTTATGTACTTTGAATGTATAAATCCATTCCTGATTTTGATAAAAAGACCAGCAATTCTTCTTAGTTTGTTGTATTTATTTTCAGCAGTGCAGAAAACTTAATTTTTGTTAAGGGCCTTCCCGGATTGTCCTAGTTTCGAAGTGGGTTCTGTGACATTTCCTGAATATGTCTTGCTTCATTCGGATCAAAATATTTACATTCGAAGGCCTAAGTGTAAGTGAAGGATCATTTTAAAGTTCCCTGCACCTGCAATTTCTAGTGTCCACTACATTACCATTCGGGAAGCTTTTAAAGTTGGAATGTAACTAAAATGCATACATGCCTGTCATAATTTGGTGGAATTCTTGCTCAAACAGATGCTCACATGTGATGTAATGGGCATTAGTGGAGGCAGATGCCTGAATGCCTTTAAAATGAACCAACGAAGTGACTAGAAGATTTTTCCACATAAGTCGAAATAGACGACTAAGGCTCTGTGACTGGGGTTATTGAATGATTTTTGTCTTTAAGTGTGATACTTCACCAAGACTCCATGTTTTCGACACAATATCAATATGGCCAATGTAATAAAAAGGAGGATTTACTCTCCCCCCTTTGAGCCCATACTTCGTCAGATAGCATTTAACGCGAGACAGGGTGACGGACAGCAGTGCCAGAAAAGAGGTCAAGAAGTACCCAAACATAGGTGTGCGGCGGGCTGCATGTCCTCCTGCCAACTAAACAGGCACTTACCCGACAGTTGGCCGTAGCCGTGGGGAGAAGTTTGCCCAGTAGGCAGGAGATTCAGGCCACCACCTTTGCGTTTGGGCTACGTTTTTGAATTCATTTTTTTCTGGCAACACTGTCCTAACCCTGGCCGGTGGAGTGCGATTCTTTTGCCACTCGTGGCGCACCTAAAGATTGCGACTGGTGTGCAGGTGGTGGCCTACCTGCGTGAACTGCAGCTCCGCTACCCCCGGCTGGTGCGCGTGGGTAGCATGGGCCGCTCGGTGCAGGGCCGCGACCTGGTGTTCGCGCGGGTGTCCCGCGGCTCGGCGAAGCACCGCGACGTGATGCTCGTGGACGCGCTGACGCACGCCCGCGCCTGGATCACGCTGCCCGCGGTCCTGTACTTCCTGCAGCAGCTCGTCGAGCGTCACCAGGAGAACGCCGCGCTGCTGCAGAGCCTGGACTTCGTGGTCGTCCCAGTTCTCAACCCAGACGGCTACGAGTACTCTCGCGACAAGGTGATTGCACCATTTCTACTTCTAGCGTAACTGCACGTTGGAAGCAAAGGCATCAAAAAACTATACCCCAACTGGGCGTGAACATTTTACGCTCCTGGAACGACATGGATCGTTTAGTGCCTTTAGAAAGGGCGTGGATTGGTGCCTTTCAGCACTGAGAAAACCTTGCAAACTGTTTTAGGCCTTACAACGAAGAAAACAGCTTCTTATAACAAAGTATCTTGAGCATACATAAGCTTGCAACGAAAAAATTTCGCAATTTCCGATTCTTCGTAATCCAAAGTAAATGAGTTTGTATTCTGTATGCTCAAAATACTTCGTAAGGTTTTAAGCGTGAGGCATAGTTTGAATGCCTTCCTAAAGGCATTAATTAAACGAAGGGCGTATGCATACGCATGCTCTAAAGGGCATCATTGTTATTCCGTCGTCTCACCAGTGAGTCTACTGTTCATTATGCACCAAGAAATGGATGCTCGAATGTAAACACTCACGAACACATACTTGAAAGCATGCATTTGTTGGTGTGTAAACACACACGTAAAAGTTTGCGTAGTATTTAGAGCATACATTGTGTAAACAACCGAAATTTATTTTGCTTTACAAAGAAATGGTTCGTAAATTATGAAGTGTTATCTTCGTAAGCTTATGTATGCTCAAGGTTTTCTCAGTACGGGTTCCTGGTGTTAGAGTACTAATTGGTGCGTCCTTTTGTTGTGCCGTTATTTAGCCTTGCGTCGACTGCTCCGAGTACAGTCCAACTGCAATTTGTGACTAGAGCGTGGACCTCAAACGACTGGACCGATTCAAAGTCCTTTCTCATGCATTTCAACAGGAAAGATTGTGGAGGAAAAACCGGGCGAGGACGTACAACGAGTCGTGCATTGGTGTTGACCTTAATCGGAACTACGACTTCCACTGGGCTGGTGGGTATATTGCTTTGGAAAGCTTCAAACGAACAAACAAAAAACTTGCCAAATAGGCCACATCAAAAGTATCGCGAAATGAATGACACTGTATCAGCTAATATTAACGGCGTTTTCCCACATTCTGTCCTGTCGCACTCTAAGACTCGCCCACGCTTTTCCAGATTTCCTTACTTCCAGCGAGCCGCCGACATTCCTTACTGCGAGCAACGACTCTTGCGCGAATACGTACGCTGGGCCACACGCCGCTTCTGAACCAGAGACACAAAGTTACCAGCGCTTCATTCGCGAGCTCAACGTCAAGGGGCGTCTGAAGATGTTTGTGAACCTCAGCGCACCTCGACAGGCAAGTTTTAAACTGCAGCGGGTGTAAACTGATGCCCAAGAAGGCGGGCAGAGGCTGCTGCTGTCGCAATTAGTCCTTTGCAATCGGGCATGTTTGGTGCCATCGCTTCGCATGACAACAGGCTTTAACCCTATACAGCAGTGATTGGCCTTTTTTGATTCATGAAGACAGAAGTTGAGTTACCACCTTTTGCCATTTGGAACGATGGAGTCATGTTGACTTCGGTATTGAGTTGCCATCATTTTCCGATGAAACTTTAACCGTAAAACGGGTCAAGTTGAGATATTAAACCCATTTTTCATGTGGAATTTCTCCTTAAACTGTTGGGAATTGGGTCAGGCACAATTATAAGATAGACACTCATTTTAGGGATATTATTCCCTGCCGCTTCCTGGATCAAATGTGTTATATTCTTTTTTAATTCTCCTTGAAATTCTCCCCCCTCGTAAAGTTTGCATTTTCTCTGCAGGGAATCTCCTTTCCTTGGGGTTACTCGTCAGCAGCTCCCAATGTTTCCGACTTCTCAGAACTAGTAAGTATCAGCCAGTATTCGTACGTTTGTTGTCTTCGTGTAGGAAGGTCGTAGAAAACATTCAATGGCGTTGACGGAACTTTTTCTCTTTTTTCTTACAACATGTTGGTGAGCGCTCTTTACGGAAATAGTGCGAGTGAAATGACGCCACCTTCATTGTGTTCTTTCTTTCTTAGGAATATTTTCAAATGTCGAGGGCACTTCAAGTGCAAACCTAATATGAAAACAGCGAATTTTTCACAGGAAAATGACTTTAATGCACTTAATTTGTTTGCGGGCTTTTGTTTGCAGAGCGCGATTGGAAAAGCAGCAAGCGACGCTGCTGTGAAGGCAGGGGCCCAGCCATACAGAGTGCAGAACCTGGCTGCGAACTGTAAGTTGCCCGTGTGGTCGAGGGGTGAATCACTGGTGTACTCATGTGTACAAATTTGCCCGTACTGAATGTACTCACAACTTTGAAAAGTGCGAACTTCGCTAGTTTTTCGACCGATTTGGCGTTGAGTGCCATTTAAAACGCTAAATAAACCCTGAAAATGTTAACAAATGTGAAATTTATGAGTAAAGCAAGGTGTACTCACCCGTACTCATGTGTACACCAGAACGCAGAGTGATTCACCCCTCGCGTGTGGTAGATGAAAGTATTTCTTATAACTTAAGGCAGGTGTAAGCCATCTTGTCGCACCAGGCTCCCCCACGCTGCTAAACGTTCACTGTGATACGAGAACATGCTCACTCGTTTTTCGCGGGTCCAGAGAACGCCCTCACTCGTATTTTGGCTAATTTTTGTTCCAGCCACAACGAGGAAACGGCCATAGGTAGAAGAGTAAGATCAAATATTTTTTTTTCTTTTTTTAGAAAAAAGGCCTACAAGGCTTTGTGACACTTTTGGCCGTTGTTTCGACGTCCCGCGACCACTTTTGTACGAGAAAGGTGTTCTCCTACCGCGCATTGCAGAAAGGCCGAAAGGGCGGTAATGAGAACGGTGCACTGTGGGCCAGAAGACCGGTGGAGCGGCCAAAATTCTAGACGCGTTTTGAGCACCAGAGTCGCTGAATGGGACTCGAACCGAACGTGTGACCCTACCAATGGATTCCTCGTTCGGAGAACTATCCTTTGGTGGGGTCACACCGAGTGACTTAAGGTGCCTTTTTCTGTGAGGGGTTACCCACCGCGGGAATCGTGTGTACACATGGCCGGGAATCTGGTCGGAATCACGGGAATCGTTTAGGAATCGCTCGGGAATCGTTTCGGAATCATGGGAATCAGATGAAAATTGTGTGTAAATTATGGAACATCCCCTTAGACCATGCGAACCATCGGATACTCTGCTTAGCGCCTTCGAAGTGTTCCGCAGACCGCCGAGGCAGCCGAGGTCTTCCTTCCCCTTCTTCACTTCGGTTGCGACAGGGTCACGAACAGGGCGCAAATTTCCAAAGAGGGCCAATTATGAACCAGACTTCTTCTACAGCTTTGGAAACTTCTTTTCCAGCGCGTAGAGTCCTAAAGGCCCTAAAGGGGAGATCCGCGAACCTGAAAAATGTTTTGATTTTGCTTCTCATACTCTACAAAAGTGCTATGCGTAATTCCTCATAGTTTGTTTTGATGTTGTGTCGTCTCGTCTGCTGAGGGCCTCGTGAAGCCTAGAGCTCTCGTAGCACTTCGAACAAGTCCTATTAACCTCGTCAGCTCTCAATAATAGTTCATTTAAGATCTCTGCAATGTCGCATGTAGACAGTTTAGAAGTTTCGAGGCTCGTTGCGGAAGTTTAGAAACCGACGCCGGAAACGGAAACGCACGGCGGACATTTTGGTCGTCACCGGACGCTTTGTTTTGATATTGTGTCGTCTGCTTGGGGCATCTTGAGGTCAAGGGACTTGACAGCGCTTGGAACAGGCCTCAAAAGCTCCTCATTTCTCTAAAATAGTCAACTGAGCAGTTATTGAACGTCAGATGCAAACTGTTTAGACGTTTTCAGGCTCTGCCAGACGGATCTTCAAAACGCACGCCGGAAGCGTATGGCGGACATTTTGCTCGTCAGTATGAGCACCGAAATCGGTCAGAAGTCAAGACGCGGTCCGCGGATCTCCCCTTAAGGGCCTTTAGGACTCTAGCTCGCTGTCATGCGCATCACAGATTTTCATACTTGTCGACCCATACGTACCCGCGAGCCCGCGAACCATTTAAATTCGTACTGGAATCGCGAGAAAATCTTGTCGGAATCACGTGGGAATCATTGAAATCACGTGGGAATCTTGGAATCAGATGGGAATCTCTGAAATTACAGGAATCATTCTGGAATCTTGAGGAATCTGGGAATCATTTTGGAATCTTGGGCATCTTGAAATTGGGAATCGTGTGTACGCGAAAATCGGGAGTGGGTAACCCCTCGCTTTTCTGTCACTTTTTGGCTTTTGCTGATTGTAGTTTAAAGGACTTTACCCGCGTTCACCCATTATCACCGGTTGCGTACCCCTCGGCTCCAACAGTATTTGCGTATTCGTGAAACATTTGCGTCTTTCAGGCTTCCTTTATGATTCTTGTGTTGTCCTTCTTGTTTACTGATGAAAGCCTCTGCATCACTGGTAGCCAACGAATGTGGCGTCATATTCGTTAGAGTGTGGATTTTGTCACGTTCGTTCGTGGTATCCATTCGTTTGAACGTGACTCAGTTGTTTAAGCAGGGTGTCGCATTCGATTGAACGTGGATCAACATTGACACGACTGTGACATCATAATCAACGAACGTGATAAAATTCACATTCGAAAGAATATGACGTCACATTCGTTGGCTACCAGTGATGTCTATTTGTGGTTGCAGATGTTGCCACGGGAGTAGTCACAGATTGGGCGCGCGGCGTGGCTGGTGTTGACAAGTCCTTCCTGATGGAGCTTCCCAGCGGGGGAAGCGACGACTTGCTGGGCTTCGACGTCCCAGTGTCTCAGATTTTGCCCATCTCGCGGCAGGTCTTCGAAGCGTTCAAGGTGTTTGCTGAGTGCGCTAAGGGGAAGCCGTCGCAATGATGGAATCCAGTCTGTCCGTAGGTGTCCCCGAATCGATAACCCGTCAACGGGCAAACAACTTTGCCAAATTTGTACACCGTTATTTCAAATTCATGTTATTTCAAGGGTATTTTAACCTCATTTCTCGTTTTTTCACCGTTATTTCAATGTCATTTCAACGTTATTTCACCGTGATTTCAAGGGAAATGTACACCAAAATTCAAGTTGTTTGCCCCTCGTCCGTCAAATATCAATTCATTGTCTGTGATGCCAATACATTTATTTGTGTCCGTCTCCTACACAGCACACGACCGAATACCGTCCAGAGGACATATCAAAACCAGCATGGACTATCATATTACTCAGCAGATGTGATGAAGAAAAATTGAGCATGAAGCCGAGACATTGTTTGTTAAAGAAGCTTTACGATTGTATCAATAAATATGTCCTCCTATATTCCCATACTCTTATAAATGCGCTTCAGGCTCCATTTCGCCATGCGTGCCGCATGTTGAGTTAAATGTGCATTCATACTCTTGCAAGGCATACACTTGCAAAGTTATACGCGAAGTGTCATCAGTATTTGCAGACTTCAGACGAGAAAGCTGTATTTCGTCCTGGGGTTCTCATCTTTTAACTTACATTTACAAATTTTTGCCATTATCTTTTATGCAATTTAGTTGGCAATATTGCAAAACATTTCAGTGAAGCTTTTAACTGCAAAATAGACAGTGGGCGTTGCGCATGATGTTGTTAGTTGCGCAATTCACAGTACACGCCCCTCATGGTTTTAGCTTTTCCCCGAGACATCCAGTACAGTCCGCCGTCAGAGCTGGCCACACTGCTATACACATAAAATGTGCTCGGAAGTCCTCAGCCGAATAACACGCACGCGAATTCGGCCTCGCTGCTGAGCTGGATTCTGCTGGAGATAGAAATGCATTTTCATCAGTACAGCTGTGCAAAGAGTGGTCCGTATTACCCCCTAGTCTGGGGTAATGTGGACCACCCCTAGAATTTTTCAGCTACGAAGGGTGATTAGGGTTTCGAATTGGCTTCAAAGACTTAAAACAGCTTTTTGGAGTGTGTTGGTCTTGCGTGCCTCACTTGAATCTCGCGATAAGAGCTCCTGCGCCCATTTAAATAGGGGTTTTTATTTTTAAAATGAAAATTTTTTGCATAAATTTTAAACGTCCTTAAAATATAAAAACCACGAAAAAAATCTCTTAACTAGTTTTAAATTTTAATTTAAGGGAAAAACCATTAAAAAATATTTCTCAGAAATTTTATTTTAACGTGGTCCAAAAAATGTAAGGAAAAAAATTTTTCTGTTACCAAAATATTTACAACAACTGATTTTTGGAGGGAAGGTTAAAACGTAAATCTCAAAAAAATTTTTTAAGGGGAATTAAATCCAAAAGGGCAATAATTTTATTTCCCCCCAAACTAAGTTATCATTTTGTTTCCCGTCAAAAAATAAATTCTAAAAATGTTGGTTTTAAATCACTATTTTCTTTTTTGTGGTAAGCAGTTAACCCCCTTAATTTACCACCCCCCTAATTCGTTTTATTCCCGAAAATGTTTTCGACCCAGTTTCCGGAGACCGTCACAGAAAAAAAGAATGGTTTTGGGGCTGGGAATTTTTCCCCCTTGGGAAATTACCCGCTTTACTATGTTTTAAAAAAATCATAATGCTTAATCTCAAAAAATTGAAAATCAAATTTCCTAAAACGGGCCCCTTTTCCCAAAAAAAACCACGAAAACGAACCTTTACTAGTTTAAATTTTTCCCGCCCTTTTTCTGTCTGCTTTGTGGGTTTCTGTGTTCAACTTTTCCTCATGAAGGCTCCCCGATTTCGGGAAAATTTTGCAACTTTTAGGAGCCTTCCGGAAACGGGAAAATTTTATTAGCTCCCCCTGGTTTATTTTATAGCCGAAAAAACCAAAAAAACGGCCAAAAATCGAGTTTTCTGCAGGCAGATGCCTTCTGTCTTGAGGAAAGGGGGGTCTGGAGGGCAGGGCCCCCCAGCCTTGCCAAGTTTAAAAGTTTCAAGGGTCAAGATCGTGTGATCTGAGGGGCGTCTGGGGGGTGGAGCCCCCCAGCATGCAACACGCATGAAGAAACCAAGGTAGGTGTAAACGCCAGGCGTGGATTGTCAAAACTGGTGCAGCATCGCGAAGCCTGTTACGACAAGACACGGTCTGGCGTACACCTACCTTGTAATGAATGGATCATTTTACAACTGAGCAACTGTCACACCTGATTACTTACCAATTAGGAAGAGTCATTCCTCAAATCAGAAAACATTTAACTCTGCGTCATGTCATATCCAAAAACTAAGTATTCAAGTTCACCGTCACCTTCACCATGCCACTTGGCTAACCTTCGTAAATAATTCTTGCTCGTCTCTATGGCATCCTGTCTTGTCCCAGAAAAGAGGATAGGTCAAATGTGGATGTAGAAGAATTCATGAGGACAAACAGTAAAAATCAGAGTTCACAAGAGATATCTTACCACCCCAGCCAAGGACAACAGCAATTTCTTCGATGTTTGGTGGATGTTCACTGTAGCATGTTGCTGGAACCTCACGCACAACATTGGCGAGTTCACCATGCTCGTGTTGTAGGCTCTTTGAGTCATAGTTCTGCACGTGCACAGCTCAGAAACACAACAACAACAATGCGTAATGTTTCAATAAATAAGTCCTGAGAATACTGGGTTTCCATCACTACGAAAGAAGTGATCACGAACACAAGGTTAGGCGACCACTGACAGTAACAGCTAAGACACACTTTTTTTTTCACTGGACAGACTTCTCACCGTTGCAGTGGCGCTGAGAAAATAATATCCTTCACCTTCCCTGTTCGAAGTTTTGAGGAACAATGAGACCATTTCTAAATTCTGGCCCAGCTGTTGGAAGTTGTTTCCCGCCGCCATAGCCACCATCGACTTTGAAGGATGACCAACCTTTGCGACCTTTCCATGAACGAACCACAGGGCAAGGGCACGGGGCTAACCCGAGGACCGCTTGCGCTGTTGCCAAGTCTCTGCGCCGAGTCGAGGAGACGACACACACATCACTTGGTACATCTCATCAATGAGAACAGGATCCTTGACATGCTTCCTTAGATTCGCCTATGCTGTCCTATGTTCGTGCCAAATGCACAAAATGTGCCATACCTCCTCTTCTATCCCAGCTACAAGGGAGTTGATCAAGGATGAGTCATCATCGCTGATGCAGCAGTTGACACTCAGATCCGGGCACCTGTCCTTTATGGCTTTGAACACATATTTTAATGTATGTTCATCAGACCTGTTGCTGAGGGCATGACCAACTGGATATCCTAGATTAAATTTGTCTTTCACCATTATGTTAAGTAATTTGAAATCATAGGAATTTGTTCCATGAGTCTCATCCATGGCTACAATGGAGAGAGCGCCTTCCTTCATCATGCTCAGCTGTTCTTTCGTTTGAAATGCCAAGAGAAAGACGTCCAGAGGCAAAGTTTTAGAACCTTCAGGACCAGTAACCAGTTCTTCTCCAAAAGGATTGTAAACAAGAGTAGGGTTGTAGGGTTCTTGCATTAAGGGGGCACACCAGTGAAAATGCAGAGGTTTCGAAAAACGATCATTTTGAGAAAAGTAACCAATGTATTCGATTGATATTTTATTTTCGGCTCAAGATTATGTCAATGAAAAGGAAAATCAGTATGGGAGGGCGAGGTTGCGATGACAAGATGGGGCGCCAGTGCACTTCATTTTTCTGCGACCTTTCTTCACTCCTGCCACGATTCAGCCTGTCTGGATTGAGCTTCGAGCATGGGGTTTTAAAAGTTTCACAGGACACATGTGGCTATGGTCTAAACCACGGGGATGCCAAAAGAATGATTTTGAATTTGTTTTTTCAGAAAGGGAAATTAAAAACAAATTTTTTTAAAAATTTTTTTTGCCCTTTTGGGTTTTGCCCACGGCCCAAACCCCGGGCCCTGTTTTTTGTTTTAAAGGGGGGGCCTCTCCGCCCCCCGGGCGCGGCCCGGGGCCGGGGAAAACCCCGGCCAAAAAATAAAAACCGCCCCCAAAAGGAAACCCATTTTGTGTTCTTGGCCCAAGGACCCCTTTTTTCCCGGCCTTTCCCTTCCTTTTTTAAATCCCCTTGGGTTTTGGGTTTTAAGAGCCTTTCCCGCGGGAAATGGCCCCAAACAACCCAAATGGTAAAACCAAAAAAACCCCTGAGCTCCCGAGCCCCCCGGAAACGATTTTTTACATAACTGGTGTAAAAGCCGCCTCGCTGAACTCCGTCCCGGGCCCCACCTCCTCGTCGGCCCTCAGCTTCGCCTCATCCTCCGGGGTTCGGGACGTCCATGGACCCGGGGGCTCCTTCTGCGTCCGGTCTTCATGTCGTGATTACCCCTGTTGCCCCCTTGTCCCCCCCCCCCCCCATTTTCCCACTTCCCCCCACACACCCTACGACCCCTCCCACCCCCCCTACCTGTTTTGGTTTGTACATGAGGACTGCGACACTTTAATCCCGATGACCCATTTTTACTGCTTTCCCTTCACTGTGGAAGAGGGGGCCTATGGATGAATTAATTTGTTTGGCGAGAGTGGAGGGGCACGAGTTTGAGTGCTATTGTGAGGAGCAGCTGCGCCGGGCGGCTGAGCTCCAGGGGCCAGAACCCTAATGTGCAGTGTTTGAGTGATTTACTGTGTGCCATGTTTGAGTCCAATACCCCATGTTTTGCCCTGTGCCTCTTCGTTTCTTCATTCCCTTTTGGCTCCGCTCATGAAACAGAAAGACAGTCGTTAGGGCCCGTTCACAAACCCTTAGCCCAGTTCCCTGTCATGCATTACGCGTTTGGCGCTTGGCTAGGAGGTGGGCAATTAATTACTAAAAAACCAGGCAAATTTAAAGGGGGGACACCAGTGAAAATCTTCAAATTTTTTCCTCCTTTTTTTTTTTATCTTATTTTTCTGCTATTCATTCCGAGTCGAACGCCGCAAACCCCCCTCAAAATTCCAAATTTCTTTGGCTTGGGCACATTTTTGAAGTTCCTAAAAAGGTAACTTTTTTTTTCATATTTTACCTCAATTGTTAACGTTCAGGTGTTTCACTTGAAGTCCAATGACAAAACCCTCGAACTATCGAAACGCAAATGGAAAAAGGAAAATTTTTGGGACAAACCGAACTCAAAATGTCGTAAATTGCGTCCGTAATGAGGAATAATGCGTGTAAACCGTAGTTTCACTTCAAACGTCGTTTTTTTCGAAACACCATTTTTGGACCTGGTGCCCACGATTGGGGGGCGCAAAATTTGAGATAATTGCGTGCGGTTTGCGGCCCAAAAAGTTTTCCCTTTAAAATTGCCGCTATCGTGTGAACCTCGGATATGGTCGTAGCATGTACAGGGCCTGAGCCACGACACGAAAACGTGAAAAAAAGGTCAAAAAATTCGTTT